ACAACATGTGCATGTGGTCTCAGAGGTTGGCCGTCTCATTTCTTTATTCATTTCCTGCACGCCCAAGACTGGCAGGGCGAACGAGTACGCCGCCGCCGCGCCCACGAGGGCCCGCGTCGCGCGCCGCGGAGCCTCGGCCGGCTCCGCTTCCGCCGGCCGCTGCAGCACGAGGGCGAGGCAGACCAGCGCCTACTCCCCTACTCCCATCCTCCAGAGGATCGAATCCAGGGTGGGCTCGGTCCCGCGGGGCGGTGTGGCCGCAAACCGCGAGCGCACAAAAGAGGGCGACCGCAGGGTCGGCGTGCGGCGCCAGCAAGACAGCGGCGAGCGCGGCGAGCGCGGCGAGCGCGGCGAGCGCGGCAGCCGACGTGGGGTGCGCGCGAGGGGCGGCGGCGAGGCTGCCCAGCGCGCTCGCCGCAGGGCCGGCGTCGTCGCCCACGCAGAGCGCGAGACGCGACGCGGCGACGCAGGAGAAGGTGGGCACGCCTATGACACCAGAGGAGGAGGCGCTCCTCTCCCGTCGCCGCCCCGAGAGCAGGCGGAGGAGGCGCTCGCGCTCCATTGGGCGGCGGCGTGAGGGCGATGGCCGCGTGGAAGATTAAGGCAAGCAGCACGCCGCGCGAGGACCAGCGGTCGCGGGCGAGCAGCGCCGCGATCCAAAGTTCGACGGCGATGACGGCGGGGGGCATCAGAGCCGCGAGCACGCCGACGGCCCCTGGCGCCGCCTTGAGGGCTGTGGCGAGTGGTGGGATGCGCTCGAGTAGCGAGAGGCCGAAGATAGGCGCGCAGCTCACGCGCGAGTCCAAGAACGCCTCGTTCAGCTTGAAGAAGCCCGAGGCGGCGTAGCAGAGAGCGAGCTGGGCTCGGCACCACCTCCCCACACACGGCAGGCGCGACCGCTGGGAAAGGCAGAGCGAACACAGCACGCTCGCGTCGGTCAGTGCGCACCAGAACTCCGAGTCCCACACAAAAGGCATCTGCGTGTATCGTGCAGCATTGCGTGCGATGAGCGCGGCCGCGAGCAAGGGCCGCGAGGGCGTCAGCATGAGCGCACACGACAGCAGGCACAGCGGAGGCCGCCAAGAGTCGGGAAAGAGGAACTGCTGCACGTAGAGCTGCAGCAGGCTGTGAGCGGCCCAGATACGTGAGGCGGCGGCGAGTGGCGTCGGCGACGTGGGAGAGTTCATCCGAAGCGTGGCCGCAGGAGCGGCGCCCAGGACAGACAGCAGCGACACTGAAGCAGGCTGACTGGTCCTGGGCGACACTGGAGAAAAACCAGCGAGACGGGAAAAGAAGAAAAACGACTTCACCAAGCTTCAGTGCCCGCTTCAAGCTAGCGCATGGACCTATGAGAATCGCCGAGGCGACCCGCGCACCGAGAGAAAAGAAAGGAACAACGCTCAAAGAGATACGCGACCGCACAGGGGCAACGGCAAGACCCCCACCTAGGGGCTTGGCCCTCTCACTGAAACCCCGTGCGGAACGAGAAGTCATCGCACCACCACCCTTGGCAGCACAAAGCCGCGCCAGACGTCCGCCAGCTCTGGAGCCGCTCCCTCGCGGCTGTCGAAGCGATCCTCGTCCCAAGCGACCAGGTAGCCCAGCCGCATCACCTCGACCGCCCGCTTGCGAGCCGCCTCCGGGAAGAGCTCGTGGGACTGCGGCGACCACTCCGCCGCCTTGAGGACCAGCCTGCCCACCTCCACCGCCTCGGCCGCTGGCTGCAGGTTGGCCGGCCTGAGGGAGGGCAGAGGCGTGTCACAGAGAGGATCCGGCGAGTCTAGGAGAGGCCATTGCAGTGCGCGCCTCAGTGCGAGTGCCTTGGCCTCGCCCGCCACGCGCACGCCGAAGCGGGCCGTCGAAGCGTTGGAGGAGACGACGACGCCGACCTTGCCGTTCATCGAGGGCCGCGAGACGAGAGAGCGGATCTCGACTGTGGAACCGACGGCCGCAGCGGTCGGATCCGACTCGCCCCACGAGCAGAGGACGCGCGCCCGCTCGAGGGAAGAAGGCGCGCCGGCGAGCGGGTCAGCGCCGCCGCGCAGCAGCGCCCGCGCCCGCTCGAAGGTGAGCGCCTGCGGAAGAGGGGCAATGGGCGTGAGGACAACGCGCTCACGCCTTCGGCCGCTAGTCTCGGGCACGCCTCGAGGTGCTGGAGCGGCGTCCAGCCGCGGCTGGCGACCAGCCAGGCGGCGAGGTCGGCGTGGCCTCCTTCGATTGCAATCGCCTCGGGCGTGCCGAAGGGCGTAGCGGCGCGGGAGGCGCCATAGGAGGAGAGGAGCTTGGCGACCTCGAGGTGGCCGTGGTGGCCTGCAACGAACAGCGGCGTGGCGCCTTGCCCATCGGCCTGGTCGATCGCCGCGCCAGCCTCGAGGAGCAGCTGCACGCACTCGAGCTGGCCCTCCTCGCTCGCAATGAGCAGCGGCGTGACGCCGTCGTTCATCGCTTGGTTGATGTCAGCGCCAGCGCCGCGCAGCAGCTGGGCGCACTCAAGGTGGCCCTGCTGGCACGCGATGAGCAGCGGCGTGGCGCCGCCGTTCATCGCTTGGTTGACCGCTGCGCCAGCCTCGAGGAGCAGCCGGACGATCTCGACGTGGCCCTTGTAGCACGCAATGCACAGCGGCGTGACGCCATTCTCCTTGGCTTGGTTGACCGCCGCGCTCGCCTCGAGAAGCAGCCGGACGCACTGCTTATGGCCCTGCAGGCTCGCGACGTACAGCGGCGTGCAGCCTTCAGCGTCTGCGTGATCGGTCGCCGCGCCAGCCTCGCGGAGCAGCCGGGCGCACTCAATCTGCCCCTCCTGGCACGCGATATACAGGCGCCGCGGCCAGTCGTCGCCCCGACGCTCGCGCCGCCCTCGAGCAGCAGCCGCGCCGCCTCGGCCTGCCCGTGACGAGCGGCCCAGGTGAGCAGCGTGTCCTGCTTCTCGGTGTCGTGCCGCGCGTCGAGCTGGGCCGCGAGCGACGTGCCGCGCGTCCCCTGCCCGGAGAGGAAGGCGCGCAGCCAGGCCAGGTCGCCCCGAGCCAGGTCGGCGGTTGGGAGGATGGCGCCGCTCATGCCAGAAAGAAGAAAAACATTCTTGGGGGCAAGTTCACGCGAAGACGGGCCGCGCCGTCGCTCGCATCATGCACGGCCTCTCCTCGCCCGCCTTTCCGTACAAGGAGCACAGCCGCTCAAAGTACGGGGGGCATGCACAAGTCCGTCGCCTTCGACCGCGTCAAGGCGATGGCGGAGGAGGTGCTCGAGACGGCGCGCCGCCGGATGAGACAGCAGGAGGCGGCGCTCCAGGCGCGGGAGACCGCGCGCAAACGCAAGGAGCACGATGTGATTTCTCATGTGGACGTTATGACGCTGCTGCGCGTCTACTAGCTGCGCGGATTCTGTTGCTCCTATCGACACACACACACACACACACACCAGAGCCGCGCAGTCGGAAAGTGTGACCAGGGGTGATGGGGATGGATGGACCTACCGGACCCTCACAACGGCATGAGCGGCCCCCTCACAACGAGGGCTGCGCCCGCTCTCCCAGCCCGCCTCGCCGACCTGGCTCTCGCGCGGCACGACACCGAGAAGCAGGACACGCTGCTCACCTGGGCCGCTCGGCACGGGCAGGCCGAGGCGGTGCGGCTGCTGCTCGAGGGCGGCGCGAGCGTCGGGGCGACGACTGGCCGCGGCGTTTCCGCGCTGTATACCGCGTGCTATAAGGGCCACCTCGACTGCGCCCGGCTGCTCCTCGAGGCAGGCGCGGCGGTCAACCAAGCCAGGGAGAATGGCGCCACGCCGCTGGCCATCGCGAGCCACCGGGGCCACGTCGAGATCGCCCGGCTGCTTCTCGAGACTGGCGCAGCGGTCAACCAAGCCAAGCAGAACGGCACCACGCCGCTGTTCGTTGCGAGCCAGCAGGGTCACGGCGAGTGCGCCCAGCTGCTCCTCGAGGCTGGCGCAGCGATCGACCAAGCCCGCAACGACGGCACCACGCCGCTGATCATGGCGTGCTACAACGGCCACCCCGAGTGCGTCCGGCTGCTCCTCGAGGCTGGCGCGACGACCGCCCAAGCCCAGCGGTACGGCGCCACGCCGCTGATCATGGCGAGCCAGCAGGGCCACCTCGAGATCGCCCGGCTGCTCCTCGAGGCCGGCGCGGCGATCGACCAGGCCGATGAGCAAGGCAGCACGCCGCTGCTCGCTGCGTGCCACAACGGCCACCTCGAGGTCGCCAAGCTCCTCTCCTCCTACGGCGCCTCCCGCGCCGCTACGCCCTTCGGCACGCCAGAGGAGTTTGCAACCGAAGAAGGCCACGCCGACCTCGCTGCCTGGCTGGTCGCCAGCCGCGGCTGGACGCCGCTCGCGCACCTTGAGACCCTCACCGCCGCCCGCGCCACCGCCCTGCTGCGCAGCGGCGCAAGCTTGCACGAGGGCGAGCCGACGCCGCTGCGGCGCGCCGCGGGCGGCGAGGGCGAGGCGGCGGCGCTGGTCCGGCGGGCGGCGGCGCCGTGGTCGCCGGCAAGCCACTCGCTCTTCCCCGCGGCGGCCCGCGCGCGGGCGGCGCTCCTCGTTCTCTCGCTCTACGAGATCCACGAGCGGTACCACCTCGACTCGGCAGGAGCCACGAATGGCATCGCGGCGCTCGACTTTGGCCACTGCGTCTTGGGCTTCGCGATCACGCGCGAGACGGAGTAGGAGGCCGTTCGCGCGCAGCGCAGCACTTGGTGCCGCGCGGTGATCTCGGTCATGTGGATCGGCTAACATGACGCCGTTTTGGTCAGCGGTGGGTGGAGATGTGTACCGCCTGACGGCTGTGGTTTTTGTCACATATATGAAACATGAATCATCCGAACGATGCCCGATGCGCGGGCTGGCCTCCGGGGGCCCAGCTGCACAGTTCGGTCTCGAGCTCGCGAACGCGCGCCGTGCCGGCTCTCGCGTCACTCGCGCGCGCAACACACCGGGGCGGCCCTCCCTTCCCGCCGCGCCGTTCCACACACCATACAGCACACTCAAGCCGCAGGGGCTGCGCCCCCCTTCCCGATCTGCAGCTCCGCCTTGCTTCCGAGGACCGGCGGCACGAGCACCCTCATCTGCCCTGTCGCCGCGCTCTTCTCGTCGAGCAGCGCTGCCGACCCCGCCGTCGCGGCCGACTCCACAAAGGTGATTGTGCGCGTCTCCGTCGCTGATGTCTCAAACATGCCCGCCCGCTTGCTGCGGAACTCGATCGTGTCGCTGCACACCACGCTGGCGCCCGCCTCCTGCACAAGCATCGTGACCACCTCAGCCTTGCGCTGCACCTGCAGCAGCAGCGCGGCGCCGCCGCCCTTGGCGCCGCCGCCGACGTGCACCACCATGAAGCCGTCGGCAAAGGTGGAGAGCGAGATGCCCTCGAGCTCGTCAAATGCCGCTCGGACGTTGACCCTCCACTTGGTCGGGGCGAGCAAGTACACGGAGCGGTCGCTGATGAGGAGGATGCGCTCCTGGGCCTTGCCGTTGCGGTTCACGTGCGTGATGCGGTCGGCAAAGTACACCCTTGCCTCGCCCGCCTTGAGCAGCATGCGCGTCACCTCTGGCGCCTCCGCGGCGTCGAGGTAGTCGCCGAGAAAGGGGAGCCTCCACGAGCCCCGCCGCCGCTTCAGCCCCTCAAAGACGGCCATGCTCTTCTCGCGCAGCTTGATGCGGTACCTCCTCGCGGCGAAGGATCGGTACGCGCCCTGCAGGATCCGCGCCACGTCGTGCAGCGCGCGGCTGCGCCGGTCCTCGAGCGTGAACACGGACGCGGGCGCGCGCGAAAAGACCTTCGTCTTGCCGAGCTCGTACCCCGCCTTGACAATGTGCGCCGCCGCGAGGATGGCGGCGCACGAGTCTGCCGGGCTCTGCGCAGCGGGCGGCGCCGGCCACGTGCCGAGGCATATATCATCTTGTAGCGCCCGAGGAAGCGCGGGAAGGGCATCCGATGCGCAAAGCCCGCGCGCCGAACCAGCACGTTTTCGACAATGCCGAGGTAGCGCACCTGGTGCGCCACGAGCTGCGCGTCCCAGTCAGCGGGCCGCTTCTTGAGGTTGGGCTTGATGCAGCGGATGTAGTGCGGCTCCGCGCACCGGCCGATGGTGGCCGCGAGCGCGTCCATCTGCTTGCGAAAGTGCGCACCCGCCGTCTCGATCTTCTTGGCTGACGCCTTGCCCCTCGTCGCCGCCGGGAAGAGCTCCGCGATGAGCGGCGACGCCGACTCGGAGAGCATCTCGATCTGATTGCGATAGGCGAGGTCCTTGTTCTTCGCAGCCCGTCCGCCGCGTAGCCGTAGGCGACGTCACCGCGGCAGGCTCGACGCTGATCTGAAGTACCTGCTGACGCAGAGCGGCTGGCTGTGAGCAGAGCAGAGCAGAGCAGGCATGCGCAGAGCACACATCCGGCAAATTCTCCGCCCTCACCATGATGCTGGCCGCTACAACCGGGCGCCGCGGCACCCGCACTACCGGCTGCGGCCAGCGGATCGAGACACAAAGAGGGGGGGACGGCGAGGTCCAGGTGGATTGTTCTGAGTAGATTCTTTACTACAAAAACCCGAGCGATGGTCCGCGATGCATCTTCGCCCTCTGGTTACGTATGAGCGCCCACCCTCGCTGCCTCGATAAGCAGCCGCCTTGGGCCAGGCGACGACCATGCGACGGTCGAAAGGGGCTGCGCCAAGTCGCAGGAAGGCAACTGCCGTATGCGGTACCGCGGCTGCCAGACGGAGAGGTAACCTGCGGAGGCATGAGTCATGGACGTGTGGTCAATCGCGTCTGGGAAGAGGGCTGCCACGAGCAGAGATAGCCTAAGCCGCCCGGCATCGTCTGGCCAAGCAGCATGCCACAGGCCTACACACATCAAAGAGCATCCATCCTCAGACCCCCTTCCGCGGGATCCTCGATGAGCCGAGCAGCCGCGCGTGCGCTCCAGCGTGGCTGGTGTTCCTCCAGCACGTGCGCATCGTATCGACGAAGCGCGAGAACAGCGGCCCCGGCATCGCAAACGCCCAGTCGTTGACGCAGCTCGGCGGCGTGTTGTGCGTGGCAAAGCGCTCGCAGCGGGAGATTGCACTCGTCCTCCCAAAGTCGGCGGGCGGCGACCACGCAGTCAGAGACTTTGTCCACAGCAGGTCGTGCCTGTATACCGCGCTGGAAGGTGTGGCGCGGGTCCATTATGCTCCTGGGCTAGAGAGCTCCGGGCCGCGCCTCGCAATCATGATGAGCCCGTAAGAATGCGCACTCGACCCACTCGCAAATCCTCTTGAGAGCATCTGCAGCGCACGATAAAATCCCGCGGCTTGCGTCGGAGCGGCAACCTCCGTCTCCGCCGCAACGACGATTCGGCCTCGCAAGGCCGGGGCACCGCCATGCACGGGTCCATCTAGACTTTGAAGGAGCCGCTGCATCAGACCCGGGCATCGTCGGCGGCTACTTTCCTCAACGTACAGGTGCACCTATGGGTGGAGAGTGCCCAAGGGTCACATGCCTGCTTCGTGCCCTACTCGCGGGATACCTAGCCAGCGCGCCGTGTTCCCGAGCGCCTCGAGCGGCACGATGACGTGTGAGACCAGCGAGCGAGTGGCAGCCAGCTGTGGCAGCAAAGCGTTGGCGTCGCACCTGTAGTGGCCACGTCTCTGCTCTACACGCGCTAGGGCATTGACCGCAGGTAGAGCGGCGGTGCACCCGTCTATGTTGTGACGGATGGGGCAGCGAGAGGCTGGAGGGGTTGGTACGCATGCAGTTTCATTGAAGTCAGATCGAAATGCCGCACCACGAAGCACGACTGCCGCCAGACTGTCTGTAGGCGGGGGCCGCATCCAGGCTGTGGTGTGAGCAGGGCTGAGCTGAGACTTGGAGGACGCACGACTGCGATGTTCTCTTCGCGCCACGGCACACACAAGGTGTTCGCAGCCCACCAGCCCTCGCACGGGAACCTGTACCTGTAGTGATGCCTTTGGTGGATTCGTTCATGTCGAAGGCGCCCAATTCGGCGCCCAATTAATCCGGCGGCGCTGTTGTGGCGCGCGGAGGAGAGCGTGACACCAGAGTCCAGACGTGCCTCATCACCGTTTCATATGCTCCTGGTACTCCTGGCTGCTGATCCCAGCACTGGCTCGCTTCCGAGTTGGTACACCTCTAACCGCATCCATGCCCACACGCGGCTCACGATCAGCAAATACTGCCGTGAAGACAGCGGCGGTTTGTGGGCGTGTGATCCAATCTTTGACCATGCGGGTGCTGCATTTGCCGCCCTCAAGGTGCCGGTGTACGTGAGGCACACGCACACAGGCCGGGATGGCCCTTGGTGGCCCTCCACGACCGATCCGCCAGAAAGCTGGCATCCGCTCGTGCAGGCGACAAATCGGTCGCTTCCCAACGAGTTCCTGGCCGAGGCTGCCACGGCAGGCGTCAAGGTGATTGCCTATCACTACATGAAGACGTCAAACTTCTATGCCAAGGCGCAGCCCTCTTGGACCAATCAGTGGCCCAACGGCTCCGTGATCATGTGGCCGCGCGGCCCGGGCATGTCCGCGTGCGAGCGCGCCTGGCAGGACACCTTCATCGCGCAAGTGGTGCAGCTTGCGCAGATGGGGTTTGAGGCATTCTACTTTGATGAGTACCCGGCTGAGATTGGCGGTGACTGGAGCCCAGCGTGTCGCGCGCGATTTCGGGCCACGTACGGCGAGGAGATGCCGACCGCGCACACGGAGGTGACGGAGAAGCAGGGCACCCATCCGCTAGCCGCCGACCGTCGCATCCTGGCGATGATGTCCAACGTGACCGAGGAGTACTTTGAACGATTGGCGGCGGCGGTGGAGCGCGCTCGGCCCAGCTCAGCGGCCCTCGTGAGCGTCTTCCGCGTGCCCGTCGCGGACAATGGACTGTATGAGACGACGCGCCTCATGCGCCCGACGAATGTGGTGGCGAAGAGCGAGGACCACATCCCTCTGAACATCAAGCCGCCGCCGTCGACCGACACCTTCGACGACGACGTGATGAAAGCGTTTGGGCTCGCTCTCGTGAGAGATGCGGCCACAGACGCGGTCGCCGGCCTCAGCCGCCCCGCGCACATCTGGCTCCCTGCTCTGAACCGCTCGCAGGACGCGACGTGCGCATCGACAACGTGCGTCGCCTACGGCGCCATCGCGAATCCCGACCACCACGAGAAGGACGTCCCCAACCACAAGCTGTACGACGAAACGTACGCCCTCGCCGCCAACCTCAGCGCCGCGTGGACACGCTTTGAGCCCCTCGTGCCACTCGCCTACGCTTCGGTGCTCTTCAGCGAATCCGCGCGCAACCAGCACATGCCAGCCGACGCCCCGAGCGCGTGGGCGCACGTGCTCTTCCCCAGCTTGGGGGCGTGGCATGCGCTGGTGCGCGCGCGGCGGCCAGCCAAGCTGCTCGTCGACTATCAGCTGCTCGAGTGGCCGGCCGCGCGGCTGGTCGCCTTGCACCCGAGTCTAATAACGCCTCCGCAGGCGGCGCTCACTCAAGAGGCGCGCCTTGCCATCGCCGCCTACGTCGCCGCGGGAGGCCAGCTCGTCGAGGCCTCGGACGACCCCGGCTGGGGCTCGGCGGCTGCTCGTGTCGCGCTGGAGGCGAGCTTGCTCGCGGCGGTCGACGCTGCCTCGGCCGAGCCGCCTCGCGCGCGTCTTCTCGGCGCGGAGGACAGCGCGGCGCACCTGGTGGCGTACACGAGCGGCCGGGAGGGCCTCCTCCTCTTCGTGCTCAACAACTTTACCGGCTGCTTTGGGGGCTCGACCGCTCCAGCGCCGGCGCCGCTCTCGGGGCTGTCAATCGAGTTCCGCCTGCCGCCGACGGCGTTCCCGGAGCGCGCGATGGACGCGATCACCGGCACGAAGCTGCGACTAGATCCACAGAGCGCGGCCGCCGCACCGGGAGCGAGCGTGTGGCGCGTGCCGCTTCCGCCGATCGCGATGGCAGCGGCGGTCACAATCGACATTCGCACTGAGCTTGGCCCCTTGAGCTTGGCCCCTAAAGCTGATGCTGGCGAGTAAGCGAGTCAGTTCTCGAGCAGGCGGCAGCGGTGGCGGAAGTATGGCGCGCAGGTGGGGGTATCGCGGGTGCAGGGCCGCGGGGAGCGGATGCGTCATTCGCGGCGGGGCGTCCTGTGCGTTTGCCACATCCAAGTTTCGTGAACCAAGTTTCGCGGGTGCGGCCTTTAAGGCAAACGCACTGTCGTCCCGCCTGATGAGCCATGCGCAATGCCTGAAATCGCTAGCTTGGCCTGAGTGACTCCGGCTGGGCGCATGGCGCTGGCCAGCAAGGAGAGCGCATCGCCTCTCGTGCTTACCCACGCCAAAATTGGGACCATCGCGAGGATCGAGGCTCTTCGATTTCACCGACGCGAGGTGTCCGCTCTCCAAGGCCCGGTGTGCGGGGTGCGCGTGGGTGCGGGTCGAGGACCCGCGGCCGCGCGGAGAGAAAAGGGGAGACAAAGGCGCGACGGCTTTACGGTATTACTACGTAGGGGTGGGAGATATCAAGATATGCGACGGTGTATCAGTCGCCTTAGCCACCGTCGCATATCCACGCTGGTATGGTGGGGGGTGGGGCGGGGGCAACCCTCTCCCCTGCCCTCGCAACTCCACTAAGACAGTGAGAGGCAGGAGCCACACGGCATTCATTCCAAGTGCAAGGCCCAGTGCGGCCTTACTTATTCGCCAGGCTCTCAAGGCGTCGGTACTGTACACATTCTCCTTCTGCGTTGCACACGCCTGCCGGGCCACCTTGCAAATTCACCGCATCGTAAAAGACGTAGGACCCATCTCCGCCCCATGAATTCTCAGATTGCGTTTTGAAAGTACCGGTACCCGGGTATAGCCAAAAGCGCTGAAGTTCAAGGACTTCGGCACTCGACGCGTGAATTTGCTGCAATGCCTCGCGCTCGTAAGCCCGTCGGCGATCCTGCGGGGGCACCGCTGCTTGGGCAGCGCGTCGTGCTCGGCGGCCTCTCTTCCCGCCCCGAGCTCAACGGGCAGCGGGGCGTGGCGGGGAGCTTCGAGGGCGGGCGGTACGCGGTGGCGCTCGAGGGAGGCGGCGAGAGCGTGCGGGTGCGGCCCGGTAATCTGTCGCCGGCGGCGGCGGAGCGGGCGTCGAGCGGTGCCGCGGCAGCCCCCGATGCGGTCATCGCAGCGGCTGAGCTAGGCGAGGAGGAGGCGGTGCTGGAGTGGCTCGAGGGCGGCGGGCGGGTCGACGCGACGTACGAGACAGGGGAGACTAGCGGCATCACGCTGCTGATGTGCGCCGCCTTGTACGGCCACGAGCGGGTGGTCGAGCTGCTGATACAGCACGGCGCAAAGGTCAGCCTGCAGGACAGCAACGGCAACACCGCGCTGATGGCCGCCGCCCTCTTCGACCACTCCGCCGTCGTGCGGCGCTTGCTGCGGGCGGGCGCAGACACCGCGGCGCGCAGTGCGAACGGCAAGACGGCGCTGCAGCTTGCCAAGGAGGAGGGCCACGCCGAGTGCGTCGAGGCGTTCCGGCAGCACGTCCAGGAGTCGGTCGTGGCGGGACGGCCCGCGGCGACGGCAGCGATGTACGCCGCCCTCCTCAACCACTCCGCCGTCGTGCGGCGCTTGCTGCGGGCGGGCGCAGACGCGGCGCGCACTGTTGACGGCAAGACGGCGCTTCAGTTGGCCCAGGAGCGGGGCCACGCCGAGTGCGTGCGCGCCCTCGAGGAGCGCTCGTCGACCGCAGCAGAGGCGGAGGGGGAGACGTCGGGCGCAGAATCAGCCGAACAGGCCGCGGCGGCCGCACGCGAGGTGGCAGCGGCAGCGGAGGCGGCGGTGGCGCGCGATACTGCCGAGGCGGCGCTGCGCGAGGTGGTTGAGGCGTGCGAGCGAGGCGACGCCGATCTCGAGGCGCTCAGGGCGGCGATCAACGCGAACACCGAAGCCGCCGACGGCTCGGAGGCGCTGCGGGCGGCGCAGCGGCTGCGCGACGATCTGGCGGAGCGAAAGGTCCGCGAGGCCAGGGCGCTGAAGCGGCAGCGGCAGAAGGAGGAGAAGGCGGCGGCGAGGCAGGAGGCGGCGGCGGCGCGGGCGGCGGAGGAGGAGGCGCGGGCGGCGGACGAGGCGCGGGCGGCTGAGGCAGCTGCGGCGGCGCGGGCGGCGCGGGCATCGGAGGAGGCGGATGAGGCGGCGCGGGCGGCGGAGGAGGCGGAGGCGGCGTCGCGGGCAAGGGAGGAGGCGGAGGCGAGGGCAAGGGAGGAGGCAGAGGCGAGGGCGAGGGAGGAGGCGGCAAGGGAGAGGGAGGAGGCGAGGATGAGGGCGGAGGCGGCGGAGGCAGCGGCGGAGGCGGCGGCTGTAGAGGCGGCAGTGGCGGCCGTGGCGGCGGCGGAGGCTCAAGAGGCGGCGGCAGCGGAGGCGGCGGCAGCGGCAGCGGCACCTGCGGCAGCGTCGGCGGCGGCGACTGTCGCCGCCCTCGCCGCCGCCGCCGCGCCGCCCGCTGCCGTCCCTCTCGACGAGCTCATCGCGGCGACCGACGGTTTTGCCGAGGCGTGCAAGGTGGGCGAGGGAGGTTTCGGGCGCGTCTACCGCTGCGACGCGCTGCCGTCGCTCCCGCGCGTCGCTTGCGGGTTCGCCGTCAAGACGGCGCTGGTCGGTGTCGGCGCCCAAGGCCTCGCCGAGCTGCAGAGCGAGGTGCGCACGCTCAGCGCGGCGTGCCACCCGACCTTGCTTCCTCTTCTCGGCGCTTGCCTGGCGCCGGCGAGAGCGTGCCTCGTCTACCCCCTCTGCCGCGGCGGCAGCCTCGAGGACCGCCTCTACCGCTCGCCAGCCGCGCTGCAGCGTCTCCGCATGCTCGGTTTCGAGACGCCGCCTCCGCCGCTCTCCTCCACCGCACGGCTCCGCGTGCTGCGCGACGCCGCGAGCGCGCTGCATTACTTGCACACGCTCTCGCCGATGATCCTGCACCGCGACGTCTCGGCGGGCAACATCCTGCTCGACGAGCGCGGCAACGGCTACCTCGCCGACGTGGGCCTCGCGCGCGCGGCAGAGGCGACGGCCGGCGGCAGCCAACAGGTGTCGCACCTGTCGACGCAGCGTATCTTCGGTAAGCCTGGCTACATGGACCCGATCATCTCGCTGGATGGCCAGGCTTCTCAGTTGACTGACGGTTTCGCGCTCGGCATCACGCTGCTCGTCAGCCTGACCGGCCGCGGCGCTCTTGGCTTGCTCAACGCGTGCGACGATGCGCTGGAGGAGCCCGACACGGCGGAGAGCATCGCGGCGGCCGACGCGGGCTGGTCGGCGGCGCAGGCCGAGGAGCTGACGCGGCTGGTGGTTGGGCTGGCTCTCGTGAGGAAGAAGAAGCGGATGCCGCTCGCAGAGGCGCTGCCGCGGCTGGAGGCGCTAGTCGAAGCGGCGGGGGAGGTGGAGGAGACGGCTGGGGCCGAGGAGCGCCTGTGTGACCTCTGCTACGACGCGCCGCGTTCGGTCCGCTTCGCGTGCGGCCACGCGCTGTATTGCGAGACATGTGCGTCGCGCGTGCTGGAGCGCGACACCAACTGCCCGGCCTGCCGCCAGCCGGCGCTGCCCATCGCCGCAACTGGGCGGCTGGTGGCGGAGCAGGCGACGTTTGTCCACCAGCCGCCCACTCGCACCGTGCCCCAGGCTCAGCCCGTGGGCGCCACGGCGGCGGTCGGTGGGCGGGGAGGGCGCGGTGGGCGCGGCGGGCGCGGCGGGCGCGGTGGGAGGGGTGGGCGGGGTGGGCGTGGGAGGCCACGGGACGAGGGGCGTGGCGCTGGTGGCTCGTAGCTGGTTTACAGTACGTCAACCGCAGGGTGTGTGCGGTGCGTGGGGAGCTGGAGGCTGAGTACACGGAAAATCGCCCTCACAGCTCACTGCACACTGGACCTGCTGCGTGCTGGGGAGATAGCTCTCACGTCTCAGACTCAGTCACCTGTCGTGCGCTAGAGCTAGTGTGGTAAAGTGCGAGAGCGACACTTGCTTGATGCTTGGCGACTGCGGGAAAACAGTGAGACTAGGTAAGGTAAGGTAAGGTAAATTTCTCCACACACACAAGTGGTGGGGCAAGGGGGGGCGACCCTCGCATCTCCACACCCGGACACGGGCAGGAGCCCCACGGCATTTTCAAAGTGCAAGCACTGGCCCGGTGCACGTGGGTGAGCAGCCTGCCCCTCCGCCCTCGTCGCCCGACAAACCAACTCCCGCACACACACAATCGCACTCTGGCCATCGAATGACTCCGAATGACTCACACTGTGTGTGCTAAGACAAAATCTCCGCAGACAGCCAAAACGGGCCGTGCCGCGTGGGGCGGTGTGAGGTGAAGCCACGCTACTCGCTACCAGCGCTCATCGGATGCTGCTTGGGAGTTCCATCTTCCTGTCGCGTTCAAGATCACCCTCTAAGCTTCTCGCAGGGGTCGCGCTTAGGCGGCTCCTATGTGTATCAAACTTCCTTGTGCACGAGCGCAGCCTCAGCGGCGGCGCGGGCGGGGGTAATACACACGGACCCGGTCAGGTCGCGTATCCGTTCGGAGTGCCGTTGTGCAGTGCTCGGCGCGGCGCGGTGACCGGCACCGGTGTGTGCCGCCCGCGGGCGGCGCTGGGGCGGTGCACGCGCGTGCCAGCGGCGTGGGCGGGGCGCGGGGGCTCGTGACCCGCGGACGTTTGAGCTTTGACACAACACGCGTGAAACATGGGGTTGGGGATCTCAAATCTCATGCGTCATGCTCAATGACTCATATGGTCGTAGCTATAAAAGCATTCAAAACTCATATCGTACAGACGCGCTCGCGCACCATGGAGGGTACCTCTCTTGGCTCTACACACACGCTTTTCCGCGTGTCCGATCTCCCTAGAGCGTGGTAGCTCCCACTCGGCCCCACACCGGTCACCGCACACGGCGGGCTGACGTACCGGCCCGCGGGGTGGGAATGCCAGATGGGTGCGGAACGACAGACACGGTCTACTGCGGCTGGCCGAAGCTCGCGATGTCGAACTTGAGCATGTTCTCGACGAAGGGGAGGCCGGCGTCGTTCGGCCCAAAGTACGACATCGGCTCGGCGGTCGCCTGCGCGATGCCGAGCGAGTCGAGGCCTGCAGAGGCGAGACGCGGCCGCGGGACGACGCGGTGAGTTGTGCCAAGCATGCCGCTGCGTATGGGCGGGTCGAGGGTTGGGGGGTCACCCCGTGTGTGGTGGGGTGGCGAACTTGTGGGGAGGCGCGCGCGCGCGAAATGTCTCGGAAGTGTCTCGGAAGTGTCTCGGAAGTGTCTCGGAAGTGGCCCTCTCACCCGGGACGATCAGGCCCTTGGAGGCGCAGATCAGGCCGAAGATGCCGAGCATGGCCGCACGCCCTACGGACAGGCTCCGAGAAGGCTCCACGACACTTCCGAGAAGCTTCCACTTGCGGCGGTGGAAGTGCTGCCTACGGGACAGGCTCCGAGAAGGCTCGACGATGGCTTGTCAGCACGGAGGGTGCGGGGCGCTGCCGCGGCGCGGGCCGGAGGCGGCGAGGGGGGAGGAGACGAGAGAGGAGGAAGCGAGGGAGGAGGCGGCGAGGAAGGAGGCGAGAGTGGAGGCGGTGAGGGAGGAGGCGGCAAGGGATGAGGCGGCAAGGGAGGAAGCGGCGGGCGGTTGTTGATCTCGACGTTGCGCCCGCGCGCCTTCTTCTCCTCCGAGTCACCCTCCAAGAAGCCGAAGGGGTCGTAGAGGTCGAGGGGGACCGGGTGCGGGATGTTGCCCTTCGCCCAGGGGTAGGGTCCAGGGGGGCAGGGTCCAGGGTTAGGGAGGCCAGAATTCAGGGGTTAGGCCCCAGGCCCAGGGGCCAGGGGGGGCTAGGGGGGCCAGGGG